AAAACAAACTGTCATGAAATGTCAAAACGCCAGAAGTTCAAGTATGAGTTTGAGCTACAGCAAGACCTGCCACAAAACATACTCCAAAACAAATAATAATCTTTTGACTTGTTTTAATTACACAGGGATGACGTGTTCTGCTTTTGGGACAAGTGTGTGCACGTGCTCTGACCATGTCCTCCTCTATAGTAGCTCTCCCGCCTGGTTGTTGATGAATAATTCCTGCACCGAGCTCTAAGCCATGGCATGTCTGACTGCACCACACGGCTACGACTGCATTTGCATTCAAAACACACACACACACACAGTCCTTTGCACTCATGACAGCTGCCTCCTGGTGTGGACGGACGCAACAAGCTGCTAAAACCGCCTTTTAAAGCAACAGCACTTTCTGACTTCTCCCCGGTCGTCAATACGAAAAATGTCCCCAGAAGTAGCGCAAGCGGAAAGCCAAATCCACATCTTTCGCCATGCTGATCATGAATAGCTGGCATTTTAGTTCCAGGATAAAAAGACGATGTGGGGAGAAAATGTCAGCTGTTTTTTTTTGGAGCAGGAGTCATACTGATGCGGTGACCTCTATGCCGAAAAGGTTGGCTCTGAGAGGGGCTAATTGACAGTAAAGGAAAAGAAGTGAAAGTATGTTTGAAATACCACTGCTATTACTGTGCATACACAAAGCCCTCAGGAAGTACACAACACAGCAGGGAGACAGGAGTTTTTATTTTCTTCAGAGCAGGCGGTGACTCATGGCTGACTTTTGGATTTATTAAAACAACTGTTAGAAACTCAAAACTTTGACCTTTTAGATTCAGCAACTTCAAATATTTAGGGCTGCAGAATTTTGGGGAAAAATTCTAATTGTGATTTTTAAGTATTGCAATTATATTTTATACATCTGGAGTACACATTGTAAACAACTTTTTGTAGTAAAATGTGAGCAAAGATGGAAATCTGAACTGATAACTACAAGAATCCAATGTATTTCAGAACATGTTTGTAGAGGTCTAAAGTAAACTACAGGTACAACAAGATTTACAACAAAGGACATTCTGTTACCTAAATAAAAGTGTTAGTGATTTAATAATTGCACTAACTCCAATTACTGTTTAATTTGACTGAGATAGGTTTGTGTGATTCTAAAACATGCAAGGAATACCAACGTTCAGTCGTTCTCTCTACAGGCCGCTAATGACTGGAATACTAACTGGAAACATAATACACCTATAGACGGTTTACAGTCTGTGCATATGATCAGCTCAATAAAGAGGAACTGTGAGGAGCGGAGCAAGCAGTGTGCAGCCAAACACCCCCACTGTCTGGGGGTCTCTCTGGAAGACCTCCAACCTCATCTATTCCAGACACGCATTTGCAGCTATGATATGACTGTGTGCAAGCTCTTCTCCATCGCTGAGCAGAAAGTGTCACCATCTATCTCTGTCAGTAACACGGCTCCTCGGGCTCCAGCTCTCATCTCCCTTTCGCAAATGCACAAAAGTGAGGCTTCATAAAGTACACAGCCTACAGCCTTGATCTTATTTTTTTCCTTTTCTAAATGATCCTGTATCTACACACAGATACCTGACCTGATGATTGCAGTGAATTCACAGATTACTGTTACTGATATGAACCCACACAGGCTCTAAACTATGTGTGTATGGAAATGTTGTGAATACTGCATTAAACTTACAGAACATGAAGTGCCTTGTAACTCTTCTGTGGTAGTAAATGTGCAGACAGCTGTAAGTTTAACATCAGCATTGAAGTATTTCAACTTTGAGGGAAAGAGACTGCAGAAAAGACAATAGCTGTCAGCTATCTGATGCGCAAAACAATGGGGCAATATGCTGCCTCTAAGATGTACGAGAAGGCACCGGGTTATCACGGGATACGGCATGAACGAACATCACTCAAGACAATGACTGACAAGAACCGCTAATTTTCACACATGGAGCGTTTAAAAGACACTGCTGTTGGAGCCGCTAAGTGCCATGAGGTGTACTTACAGTTCTGAGAAACTGGATCTCATCCTCTCCTTCTCCTCCTTCAGCCATGGCTGCGAAGGAGGCTGCTCAGACTCGGGAAGCCTCCTCTGGCTCCTCTCTCCAGTCGCTATTAGCATAAAGCTAATCCACGGCTGTACAGCGGGTACAGGACCGCAGCATGTGTCACTCCAGACCCGGTGATCAGCGCTCAGGACCGGCCCGGAGAGGAGCACGGTGTGTCCGCATCGGTGGGCTCCTGCAACTGAGGACTAGAGAGCCCACAGCACGAGCGCGGTCTGGACCTGCGACGTCACAGGCACATCTTACCATTACAGCAAGGGAAGCGCCAGTATTCAAATTCACGCAGCAGAGACGATATATCTCTCTGTTTACCTCACAGGGTTATTTCAGTGCAGGGAGTGAGTCATGCACGAACTTCAAAGTTCTGAATTATTTCTCTTTACGCGTTAGTCTAGATCAGCACCACGGAGAGCTCCTGTCCGCGCGCGCCGCAGTCCAAACTCACTTCACGACACAAGTCTGCCCTAAACAGGTCTTTAAGAAACTGTTACAGGCACAACCTATGTCATGTCTGATGATTAATTCAATTTAAATTAGGGAGTTATCTTAAAATATAAAATAATAATTTCGGTGTTGAAAAAGTGTTGAAAAATATCTATTACAGCACATGGATGGATCTAACTCTGGATGGATATAGCTACATTGGTTTTGTATCTTGTGTCTACATTATTAATAATGTAAAGGCTTTCTATATGGATCTTGACTACATTATTTATTGTGGTAAACCAAATGGTGTTAAATATGAATTGCAATGAGGTTTCAGTGCATTTTCCTACTGGTGTAAAAAATTTGAAATTTGTCCATAAAAATGCAGTAAAAGACGCAACACGACTGCTTGTTTAGCCTTGATACGATGCTGCCCTCTCGTGGTGATGAGAATGAGCCTGGACCTGCTGTTCTGTCCCATTCCCATTTCATCTTCACATGTTGACCACTAGGGGTCACTCTTCTCTGCGAAAACTGTCCTGGAAAGTGACCTAGCACGGCCAATTTATGTGGTTTGACGAAAAAAAACACGAAAACAAAACATTAGGCGTTTGAATGTCTCGCAATGTGAAAAAATACAGTAACCGACCCGGCGTATATGGTTTCTCTATGGTGAGCAGAACATCACATGGCCTACCTGCAAGCGGCAGCTGCAAAGGCTCAAAAACGTAGCATGTGAAGGAGAAAGAGCCAATCAGCGAGCAGGGAGTCCGCGCTGAGCTCTGTGATTGGTCCGAGCACACGTCTGTCAAAGAGAGGGAACCCAGCCAAGCAGCAGCGGTGATCGGCGGCAGGCTGCACCACACAGACCAGAAGCATCATCCTCATGCAACTAAATGCAGTAAGTCAATATTTATGTTTTACTAGGGTCCATTAATCTCCGCAGGTGATTAACTCAATGCTTTTGGGATGTTGACGTAAAGGACGTTGTGCAGGAGCCTGTGCGGATTTGCATTTTGTATTAAATTATGTATTAGAACTGCGCGTATGTGGCTTTTCCCAATTGTGCCACTGTAAATAGTTGATTGCGTGACTGTTTGAATACGAATGAATCAGCAAGCCTTGATGTTAAGACAGTCCTAGCCCGTGCTTATTGCAAGGTGACAGTAACACACGAGATTGTGTTATGATGTCAACACTTGGACATATTGCCAAATACGTAGGTAAAGGCCAAGTTGTGTAGCGGAGGTGCAGTTGCAGTGTGTTATGGCTGTAAACACCTCAAGTAGCTTTTCATAAGAACTGTATCATCACCATGTCACATCCCGGCTTCTCTGACAGCTTGAGAAATAGAGGATGTGCAGTGAAAAGGCACAATTATAACATGTATTATGCAGAATTATTACTTTAGTTAAGAGTGCTTTGTTGAATTCAGAAGTCATATTTAATTTTGTGAGAATATCATGAATCTGGAAGTCTTGAAGGAATGAAATAAATCCAGGTTTAGTAGTTAATTCTCCTCTCAAATATGTTTGATATGCTGAAGTAAATATAGACAATAAAGTAAGTAATAGTAACAGTAATATAGATAAAAAACGAATTTATTCCACTGATAATAACCCAAGAGCAGAGCAGTAGTATTCTAAATGGACAATAGTATTAAAATAACCCAAAAATTCCCAATAGTGCCAAGAAAATGTCCACACGATAAATACTCAAACCTAAAAACTATTGTTCCAGATTTCATACATTAAACAATACTTAAAAAAAAAAAAAAAGTATTTATTTTGGGCAAGTAAGAAATTTACATTCTTTTACAATGGAACATATAACATTAATGAAATCATAGCAGAAATAACAACGACAACAACAACAAAATATATCAAATAAAATAAAAAACTGGCATGGAGTGGGAAAAAGAAAACTTTAATAATTTAATCCCACCCACCTCTTCTAATCTAACACAAAGAGCTTTCTTTTAAATTTTTCAGACATTTTACATTAAACTATATGAACTTTTTACAAGTGCAGACAAAGAGTCACTGTTATACTTTAGTAACATAACTTTAATTGCAATAATACATACGGATACCAACAGTGGTAAGGAAAATTAGAGATACCAACAATGGTAACAGACGTTGATATAGCGGTTATTGTGATGGTGATGGTCTAGGGTCTCGTCCTGTATAGTGTTTATGTTTTAATCAAACCAGTTGCATTTTGTATGTGTCTTTTGCTTTGCCTTATAAAACTGAAGTGTGTTTCTACTATAAAGCCAGTGATATACCACTAGTATGCCACACGCAGTCAATAAACTTGACTAGCAGCACTAACTGTTTATTGACCCTATCCTGTCTGCAAAGTCTAAATTATATTCTCTATGCCACTCTCTCCTTGTGTCAGTCTTCAAACAGGCCCAGTGATGAACTACCTGAGCCTGACTTCTCCTGCCCAAGTGTTGTTACTCAAACTGAAGCCTGAGCACTCCAATCAAACCCCGTAACTAGAATGGCCCCTATTATGGAGGGCACCCACTCTGTTCTCCTCCTCTACCCACGCATTCAAGAGTTCTGCAAAGTCAGCCCGTATCTGCCCAAGAGGCTGGCCCCGGGCTTCAAGTACACGAGTCGCGCCCGCCAGTTGGAAAGCACCAGTAATGACCATGAGGACCGGAGCGAGGAGGTTCCTGGAGTGTCCAAACAAAGAGGCCAGTCTTCTGATTCCTCGAGTGAACTGGTCCTCTGCAATTCCCAGGCAACAAAGGAGGCAGTTGCGGAGCTCCTGTGGCTGGCAGTGGAGCACCATCAGTTACTGGCTGAATTCTTATCGCTTTGCAAGGATTGTACGCACAAGGTCAGCATGGGAAACCAGGACGGGAAACTTCAAGACTACATAGAAGGTCAGGAAGTTCACTTGGATGGTCAGACGCTTAGCAATAAACACCCCGTCGTGTCAGAGCATAAGAAAATTATGACAAAAACCAAGAAGATTAAGAAAGGAATGAAAAAGCAGGAAAGCGCTGAGGAGATGCTTCATAAAAAGATGAAACAAAAGGTGACTAATGGGGTTTCTATCGTAACACCTTCAAATGTGGATAGTTCTCATTCCGAAACATCTGACAGTCCGGTGACAGGGTCCTACGTGAGTGCGGTCAGTAACCCCATTCTCCCCACGGACGAGAACTTCCAGATGGATCGCTGGATGGATTTCATGGAGGACAACCGGAACTATGAACCCGACGTGGATTTTTGTAATGATTTTTCTGAATGTGACGGTGAATTCGGATATCAGTCGTCCTCTTGCAGCTTGATGGAAGGTCTTAACAGGAGGGAAAGTGGAAGCAACCTGCGGCCAATTAGGAGGCTCGATTCTTTATGTGAAAATGAGCGCGAGCTGTTGGTCAAATCTACCGAACAGAAAAACACGGTCAACACGGGGATGACGGTCAAAGCAAAAGTGCAAGACGTGGAAGCAAAAGTTCAGCGTGTCAGCAATGGACCGCAAGATAGAAATTATAACAGTGGTAGGAAGCTTTCTCTGCAACTATCTTATACAAATGAACCTGTTAAAATACACGCTAAAAGGAGTCCTTGTTCACCTCTCGCTGGGGTCTTCAACACGTCATTCCCAGCGTCCAACAGTCTCCAGAGTATGTCCCCGGTCCTGTCCCCTCTGTCCTCCAAGCAGACCAGTCCCCAGCTCAACCACAGAATAGTACTATTGTCAGACAAGGACACGGACAGCTTCAGCAATGCGGATGATCCCAAGATCTACACTGAGGTAATCGATAAAAATGGCAACAAGCGGACTATAACGCGCCTGGATTTGAACCTGAGCAGGAGGCCAAGTGCTTCAAAGTGGAATTCATCAAGTACGTCTACAACAACAGGTGAGTTTTTCAGGAACAGATGCAACTGGTAGCTGAAATTCTTTGTGTCTTTTCTCTTTAAGCGCACAGATTCATATTTGAACACTGTAGTTTGATGTTGCCATTGCTTTCATCATCTGTTCTGTCAGATTCACTGTATTTCAAAAAACCTTTGGAGAATTTCTGTCAAAGATAGCGTGATTACCGAAGTGTAATTTTGAACTAGTGTCAAAGTCACAAGCTTTTATGCGCAGAGCTTGTATCACTCCAGTCTGAATTTTTCCAAAAAACAAAGGAATTACTAATACTTAGACATGTTTTGTAAGAGGATGTGCCGCACTACTGGATTTTGACTTGTGATCAAATTAAAAACTACCCAACAGTGTAGCACAAGAGGCAGCCAGGGCTTGGGAATAGTTTCACCGATGGTCAGTTTTAACTCTGTCTGTGCCACAATAGAGCTGCAAGGATTAGTGGGTGATCAAAGTCATAGTTGACCTAAGCAGGGGTAGTGGCAACTCAAGCATTGCTGAATTAGACGAAGTGACCCCATGTTCTTCTTTCAGGCAGCAAATCCTTCTCAGATCACAAGAAATGTACCAATAACAAGGCCTGAGAGCTCCAAATGCTTGCTTTTGGTAGCCGAAATTCTTTCTGCCTGTATATTCAAGTTGACCTTTTAACCTCTTTTGTGAGCTATAATATTCATTTATTTACTGATCACTTTCAGCTAGTCCATCTTGATGCCATTTCAAGTATGCCTGCTGCACATACTCATTGCATTAGCTTCTTTTAAATTGGTTAATTTTCCTCTTTAGGCCGTGAAACACAGTCTTTACTTTAATCTGCAGCAGCAAACAGACGGCCCTCTGTCTCATAGCAGCCAATGGATAATTGTTGTACCTTAGCCTCATGATCTCATTGCGTTTGTCCCTTATCTAATCACAGGTATATTAAAGAAAGGCCAATAGCACTTTGAGTATATAAACAGTATCAACAGGCACAGCTGTCATTTCTGATATTTGGAATGGTCTACAAGACCCGGCATTATATTGTGTGCCTATTAAAGGTGCACTGTGTAACTTTTTGGTGCACTATGTCACCTGTTTGTTTGTTTGGATAAGACATTACTCTACTAGAAATGTTCCACAGTAAATTACAGATGGTTTTATAGCTCAAAAATACCAGAGAAAATCATTGTGATGTGAGCCGAGTCGCCTTTCCATAGATCTGACCTGTCTGGTTTGATCTCCATGAAGATAGAAAGGTTTAGAATGTGAAACATTCCAGACAAAGCAATAAAATCTCCCTGGAGATGAGCATTTAAAGGACCCTCCTCCAGAAAAGTGTCCCTATTACTACCAAACACTATTAATGCTACTACTTCTATTACTACTCTATGTTTTCCCTGTTCACTGCACTGGGCATCTATGCAAAATTATGCAAAATGAATATGCAAATGTTACTAGCAAATAGATGATTTGCTGGATTTGAATATGACATACTATAAGGTAGAAAAACATCCTGAGAGATAAAGTAATATTGTAGCTTAACAGTGCACTGTGTAACTTTTCTGGTAAGGGGTCTGGCTGCCACAAGATTGTTGCTTTGTTCGTACCCATAGGTAAATTTGTTTTGCAGATTTGGTAGGCTGGTCTCACATTTCACATTTCATTCATCCACATTATGTACAATAAACACAATTACAAAAATAAAGTGTTACAGTGCTCGAGTGCAGAGTAGGTTTAAGCAATTATTTAAATTCATCCATCACACTTGACAAAAATCACAATAAATATTAAATATACATAAAAACACGTGATTTTTCAAGACTAACATACTAAAATTAATAGATAGATTATTGATAGATTGCAATTTATTCATAAGTACGATAGGAGCTGGAACGAAGCTCCTTTTAAAGCTATTCATTCTAGATCTTGGAGCTAACAGCCTCTGAGGGAAGCAGCTGAAACTCTGAGTGTAGTGGATGTTGCACGTCTTTTAAAATCCTCTGGGACATTCTCTGTAACTGTCTGGAGTACAGGGAGTCCAGGCGGCTCTGAGGATGGACAGTCACCCATTTAACCAACTGATTGAGAGAGATCTTGTTTTCAGCAGAGACGCTCCCAAACTATGAGACCAATGAAAAAGTTAAAACTGAATCTGTAAACGTCTTATAGAACAGTGTCATCATGGCTGATTGTTTCCATGGAGATATCACTGCTTTTCATGAAGTTTCACAGTATGGCATTAAACTCGAATACATGCATTCCCACAGAAAGTGAGCTCACCTCTCCATAGATCTGAAATGCAACTTGGCCTGAACGCATTGCAGATTTGTCTTGATGGAAATAGATACATTTAATGCCATACTGTGGGACATTCTAGACAAAGCAATAACATTTCCATAAGGACAAGCAGGTGGCGAACCCTCCACCAGAAAGTTACAGAGTGCAAATTTAAATATGTGCATCTTTAATAAGACTTTAGATTAGAACATGAGCCATTGGACTGTGTTTGCGAATCAACAGAGCGAGGTGTTTACTGTTTCGCAGCTAAGCATTAATTATACATGAGTCTAAATCTTTCCCCTGTTTACCGGCTCAGCTTGCAGCCTGATAATTGACTGTGTTCTAGGTTTTAATGCTGATAAATGATGGTCACAGGGTCCAGGCGGGAGAGCTGAGAGGGTCAGTGTGAATGAAACCACCTGGGCCCTTTATGCTCGGTCAAACCTGCATCTCATTATTACCATCACTTTTATCTACGCTGTCAGATGGAAACCAGGGGTCTGCTGTCTGTTGTTAATGTGCAGATGGGAACAGTAATTGCAGATAGTGCCCAAGAAAGAAAAACAATTCTTAAGTTACAATATGATTCTTACTAATACCAACAAGATACACACAATTTGGTTTCTATTACAACTGTTATAACTGTAAATCAGCTGCTGTTGCTAGGCCTGTAAGTACAATTACTATTTCGAGTTATTGTTCAATATATGAAAGCTTCAACAATATTTTTGAGGTCAGTATTTATTATGAGTAGGGATGTAACGATATCAAAATCTCATGGTACAATATCATCACGATATGCATCTCACGGTACGATATTTATTACGATATTTTCAAGAGGCTAATGTAATTGTAGATAGGACGCTTTTTTGCTTTTAAAATACCTTGACAAGATTTTGGTGTGAATTATTTCCGTCATAACCTCAAGAATTCAGGTAAAAAAACATATTTCTTCATGTTGTCTGCACTGAAATGAATCATGGGATATGTAGTTTCTAATGTTTATAAGATATTGCTACTATAAAACAATGCATTTAAGCAAAGGAACTGGTAATTCGATATATTGTGACAGCCCACGATATTATTGTGAGACTTTTGACGATACGATATCATGATATTTTGGTTATTGTTACATCCCTAATTATTGGTACTTTTTCTTTGTATTAGTAGGGAACATTTGTTTTTGTTTTTTTTTCATAACACAGTATTATCTTTTATCACCTATATTTTCTTTTCAATATATTGTACTTCATCGCTTCTGCTGCTACAAATACAGTTACAACTACTTCTACTATTTTGCTACCACTGCTCTTAAAAAATATGGTTATGAGTGCAGATGCAGTTATTTAAAATTAATTATTGTATAAAGTAAGCAAAAATCACAAATATTTTTCTCTAAAATGCATTCATGTACCAAAAAAAGTAATTGTATACCAAATACTCAAAATGATACCCATGTTGGTAATTTCCTGTCTGTGCTATAGGTATGAACATAGCCTAAAAACACCAACATTAGCTCCCTCTCTCACATGACTTATACTTTATTATTGTCTAACATACGGCAGGCCTCACTATAATCACATTAGCCAAAGGGGTCATCTGAAACTTATCAGGATAGGACTCCATCACGGACCTTTTCCTCCTGAAAACTGTCACTCAAACAGAGTGCACTGCCATGCAGCTCTGTTGTGTACTGAGAGCACAAGGGCCAGCTCTATTCACATAATGAAGAGGAGTCTGCCAAAACAGCACAGCATTCAGCAGGGAAAAGACTGGCTGTTTATTTTTATAGAAGGAATGCTGTTTTTAATAACATACTTTCTTATTGCTTAGTGTTATTTCATTTGTTAGAAATGTTATATTGCAGCCAACCACAAAATGTAATAAGGTAAATAGGCTTACCTTTTCACTTTTCTAGCAGAGGGTCCATCACCTGCTTGTCTCCATGTTATTGCTTTGCCTAGAATTTTCCACAGTGTGCCATTAAACTTATGTCCATGCAGGCAAATGTAATATGTGAGAATACATAGTTTATCTGTAGTTTTGTATCAGTAAAGTACAAAGAAGCAAATAAATACAAAGTTTAATGGCATACTGTGGAACATAGCAGGCAAAGCAAATACATCTCGGGTTGCACATCTGCTCACCAGAGAAGAATATCATATCAGAAGAATATATACCAGAAAAAATAACACACGATTCATTTTGATACCCAAAGATTACTTATGGGAGAAAATAGTTATCATGACATAATCCTACTACTGCAAAATTCTTTCCCACCAATGCCCTGTCAGACCCATTCACAGCGCGCCTTCCTCATGGGGAGCAGAGCATGTCCCAGCAGCCTCCTGCACAGGGTTCCTCTCAAGTGAATGATGACTTTGTGAACATCATGTCACGCTACATTTTAGGTCAGACTAGACTACACGACACTGCAGCACTTTTTCTCTATTACTGCATCCCTCCATCCATTTTCAAGTAGATTTAAGTCTAGCCTGTAGTTTAATCTGACTGTGATGGCTGCTAAAAGGTAGTTGATTTATAAGCCCCTGTCCTGTATCTTCCAAGATTTATTTTTAAGTCTATGGTCCTGGCCACAAACTCAATGATGAGACAAATGTATCAACTACTTGGCAACGTTTAGAGGTCAGGTTATATTTTGTGGATAAAAGAGAGCTGTGTATGCGTTAAGGGAGCTGGATATATAAATTGACAGAATCATTTTTCATG